GGGGTTGACACAAAGGACAGATCACTACAACTGGACTGTACAGAGCCATGACCAGTCTGGGCAAATGGCCACACCTGGGTGAACCCCTCCTGCTCAGTAGCATATGCCACCCTGCCCCGAAGCTCCCAATGGGTGATCAGCGAACACTGAGAGGTATGGGTGTGGGGAGTTCACACGTTGTAAGTTTTCATAGGTTTGTAGAGGGGCGGAAGCAGCCCGTGGTTCTCTCGGACGATTTCCAGGTATTCCGATGGTGATTCCAGAAAGAGGGATCCACAGCACAGCTGGCAGCAGCACTTGAGCCCCGTGACCTCCGGACTCTTGTCAGAAAGGGGAGGAAAGTCAGAATCAGCCACCTCTGGTGAATAAAACCCCTTGGGTCAATTACCACCCCACCACCCCCACCCCCACCCCCAGGAGCCTCCTCCACCAGCCAATTCGGTGGGCTTGAGAGCTCAGCATAAAGGAGACAGTCAGACGGGAGACCAGCTAACTCAGCAATTCTACTACCCAGTCTACCCATGTCTCTTTGGTGCAAGACTCCCTCCAGACATTCTGGTTGGCCTACCACAGCCAGCTCCGTGGTCTAGCCTCCGTCCGGCAGAACGCTCACCTCAGTTGGGTCCTTCTGTTGAGCAGCGCTCCGCACAGTCATGTACATGATGAAAACCAGCAGCACGGTGATCAGCGTGGCGCACGGGAAAGCGAAGACAATCGGCTGCAAGCCTGGGAGGGAGAGAGGAGGAGGAGACGATTGGATAGCTGGTGTTGAAATACGGGTTTGCTGCTAGAGGCAGGCACTGCCAAGCCTGGTGACCTGGGCTCCATCCCAGGCGTGAACACCATGACGGAAGGAGATAACTGACTCCTCAAAGTTGTCCCTTGGCCTCCACATGTGTGGCATGGCACACATATACAAGCACACACAACAGCTGGGTGGTGGTGGTGGTGGTGGTGGTGGCACACGCCTTTAGTCCCTGCACCGAGGAGGCAGAGGCAGGCAGATCTCTGAATTTGAGGTCAGCCTGGTCTACAGAGAGAGTTCCAGGAGAGCCAGGGCTACACAAAGAAATCCTGTCTCAAAAAAAGGGCACATACAATAAATAAATACGTAAGTTTTTTTTTAATATTGGGTTTATGTGTGTGTGTGTTTCTAAGTATGTGGATATATTATGTGCAAGTATGTATGTGTACACAGGTGTGTGTGCGCGCATGGAAATCAGGACAACTTCAAATGTTGTTCCTTGGGTTCCTTTGGCTTTTTGTTTGAAACAGGATCAAGACCTTCACCAAGCAGGCCAGGCTGCCAGCTCCTGGCCCTGCCTCCTAGCTATACCCAGCTTTTTACAAGGCTTCTGGGAACCAAACTCCGAGCCTCGTGCTTGCAAGGCAAGCACTTTCCTGACTGCGCCCCAAATTCTGGCTCTGAAGAAGCAAGAGAGGCAGCCAGAGGGCCAAGAGACCAAAATGGTTGAGTTATAAGGATCAGGCTGGAGGAAGGGAAACGGAAGTCCCGCCCCTGGGAGGGAGGGGCTTAGGATAGGGGGCATGGCGAGGAGTGTTGAGAGGGGCCACAGGTACTGAGGGATGCTGGGAGAGCCGGGGTTACAGACACAGACCGTTGCATCCTGCTTTTATGTATTCTGGGGATTGGGACTCGGGTCCTTGTACTGCTTGTACTGCGAGTATTTTACCCACTGAGCCCTCTCCCGAGCCCTGGACCAGTATCTTCTATACAGAATTCATGGGGTTCTGGACACTCACCAGAGCATGTTGGAGCCAGCAGAGGCCAAAGTACCCAACGAGGCCCATGAGGTCCTTCAGGGCCTGGATTGGGGTAGAGTTCTCGGGGTTCAGAAAGAGACCAGAGAATAGAGGGAGCAGAAATGATGCCCAATGAGGAATGGGGAGCACGTGGGGAGCTGACTTCACTGTTACTCTTTAATAGGCTGATGTTCGTGGAGGTGCTGGCAGAGTTGATGGGGGCTGCGCTACTAGGTTGGTAGAGTGTTAAGGATTGTACCGGCAGAATTTGGTGGCGGTGGCGGTGCTGGGGTGGGTGGAGTACTGTAAATAGTATTTAGTGAGGGTGATGGAGTTGGTGGAGTGTTAGGGATAGTGTGATGGAATTTGGTGGTGGCACTGCTGTTGGTAAAGAGCTGCTGGTGGTATAGAGATCGGTAGAGTGTGATGGCATTGGTGGAGTTCAGTAGTGGTGCCTTGACTGGTAGATGGTTAAGGATGATTCTGGTGGTGTTTGGTGGTGGTGCTGAAGTTGACCGAGTGCTGGAGATGGTGTTGATGGAGTTGGTGGTGGGACTGAGGTGGTAGCATGCCATTGTGGAGTTTGTTGTTGGTTAGCAGGATATTCAGGATAATAATGGTAGAGTTTCGAGTTGGTGCTGAGATGGGTAGTGTTGGTTGTTGGTGGAGTCTGGTGATGATGATGTTGGCAGAGTGTGGGGGTGGTGGTGGTGGTGGTGGTGGTGGTGATGGTGGTTTTAGCATTTAGTCATTGAAATGTGGGCTGTTTCTTTACCTAGGAAAACTACTCATGACCTTAGTGCTGGTGGAGTCAGTTCTTGATGGCCTTAGCAGGATTGGCTACCAAGTGCTCGGCTGGTCACTCGAGGTGGTGGCAGGGTTTTGATGCCTGTAATGGCACTGCCCCAGAAGGCAAGGTATCACTTACTGGAGGGCCACACCTGAATCCTGTGGAACTGGTGAGCCTTGTTGATGACATTCTCAGCACGGAAGATGAAGCAGTAGTCCCCAGGGTCCTGGAAGACGTGGCTCAGGTTAAAAGATGTGGTGGTCACCAACACAGAGTGGCACTCTCTGTCCTCCAGTGGGAGACACTGTGGCTTGAGGCCCCAGCACACCTCCAGAGGCGGGCTACAGAAGAACAGATACACATTTTCAAAATGGCTTGGGAAGGAGCAGGAGTTTGACCAAGCCCAGGGAAGCTAACTGGGGCAGAAACTTCAGAGTCCTTTCCATATGGGATACCAGGCTGCCCTGGTCCATGTGATGGTTCATCTTAACTATCAATTTAATAGGACTTAGAATCACCATGTAAACAAACCTCTGGGCATGTCTGTGATGGGGTTTCTAGGTTAGGTTAATTAAGGTGGGAAGACCCACCCTGAATGTAGACAGCACCATCAATGGGTGACAGTCCTGGATTATATAAAAAGGGGAAAGCAGGCTGATCACCGGCATTCATCACTCTCTGCTTCCTGTCTGTGGATGTCATGTGATCAGGCATCTAAAGATCCTTCTGCCATGCCTCCCCACCATGAATTGTAAGCCCAAATAAGCCCTTCCTTCCTTAGGTTGCTTTGGATGGGTATTTTGTCACAGCAAGGAAAAAATTAACTAATACAGCTCAACATTCCAGATGCAGAACTAAAAAAAAAAAAAAAAAAAAAAAAAAAAGAGCTATGGCCACAGTTCTTCCCAGTTCATATCCACAGGACAGGAAGGTACCATTCTCCCATGAAACCTAAGCTCTTTAAGGTTCAGAGCAGGATCTGTGGAGCGATTCGTGGTCTAGAGAGGCCACGGAACACCCATATCTCACTCTTTGGGTTCACTCACCTCCCAAGGAAGTTCATGGTCATTGTGAACTTTTGGAATGTCTGCAAGAGGGTGGGCCCCAAGACCTGGATGCCTTGAAGGGCCTCTGTAAGGAGAGAGAAACCCATTAGAGCCAGTGGCTGAGGATTAACACAAGGTGCACAGCCCCTTAGCTTGCGTGGCCACCTCTACGTCCTTGCCTCTCACCCAGTCTCTTACCCACTGCCACTAAACCATTGACTATGCCACAAGAAAAGCGCCAGCCATTACCAGAGGCAAGGAAACCCTCCCAAGGGCTGGAGAGACAACTCATTTGATGTCCTAGTTAGTCAACTCTGTCAACTTGTCACCTGAGAAGGGAGTCTCCATTAAGGGATTGCCCAGATCAGATTAGCCTGTGGGCATCTCTGTGATGGATTGTGGAAGGACCCAGTCCACTGTGGGCAGCACCATTCTCTAGGCAGGTGATCCTGGGCTGTATGAGAAAGCTAGCTGAGCATGAGTTAGTGAGTGAGCTGCCATACAGCAAGCCTCCATGGTTTCTGCTGTACTTCCTCGACATGAATTCCCTGGTTGGAGGTAATGTTGTGTGGAATGGCAAGCAGTTCTGCCTTCCGGTTCCTGCCTTGAGTTCTTTCCTTGACTTCTCTCAGTGATGGACTGCAACCTGGAGTGTAAGATATAAACCTTTTCCTCCCCTGAGTTGCTTTTAGTTGATTTTGTTGTGGTTGTTTCTCTTGTTTGTTTTCGAGACAGGGTTTCTCTGTGTAGCCCGGGCCGTCCTAGAATTCGCTCTGTAGACCGGGCTGACCTCGAACTCAGAGATCCATCTGCCACCTGAATGCTAAGAGTAAAGGTGTGCACCACCACTGCCTGCCATGCCAGTGTCTTACCACAGCAACAGAGACCCAAAAAGAACAGTGGGTAAAGTATGGAACTGAATTCCACCCTCAGTACCTAAAAAAGAAATGTTGGGTACAGCGACACCTGCTTGAAATCCCAGAGCTGGGGAGGTGGAGGTGTGTGGATCCCTGGAAGTCACTGGCTAGTCAGGCTAACCTACTAAGTGAACTCCAGGCTAGTGAGAAACGCTTGTATCCAAAGAAGGTTGTTGACCCAAGAGTGGTGGCTCACTCCTTTTATCCTAGCACTTGGAGGCAGAGGTAGACCGATCTCTGTGAGTTCCAGGCCAGCCAGGACTACACTGTCAAAAACAATTAATTTTAAAAAGGTGAAGGGCATCTGAAAACTCAAAGGCTTTCCTCTGACCTCCATAAGCAAATGCACATACGTGCATACTCACCTACACACACACACACACACACACACACACACACACACACACAGACAGATTAAGCATGGACTCAGGTTCACGTGCACATCATGCACATCCCCTCTCCCCCACATAGACACACTTACAAAGAAATCTCTGAAAACTGCCCAATGCCAGGTAACCAGACGGAGGCTTCCCACCCTCCCTAGCCAGCTTTGATCTGAAACTGTAGTGACTAAAGAATAAGGAGCATCCCTACCACTCCCTGTGGTAGGTGTCTGTCAAGCTGAGGCTCTGGGGACAGGATGGCCTGGACTCATATGCCAGCTCTGCTACAGAGTAGCTGTGTGACTCTGTGGCCTTGCATGGACTCTCTGGAGCAGACATTTACAGTAGGGATGGCTTCGAGAATATCCATTCAAGTGCAGCCTGATGCTAGCCCAGAGTCACTTGGATCTGGAAGGAGTGTTGTCCGGGGTGCCTCGGGTACAGCCAACCTGGGGGAGACCTACCCCGAAGCTTTATGGAAGCTGAGAAGTCGCCGCTCCTCTGCACGGTGCCCTTCGCGGCATCCGGCTCTGTCTGCTCCCATTCTGCCACAACCCTGACTTTCACCGTGAAGGTTCCAACACTCGAATAGTTGTAATAGGCCACAGGGGTGTCAGTTATCAACAAGGTCCTGTAAGATGACAAGGAGAAGTGACATGGACACCACTGCTTCCTTTTCCAGGACTTCGGAAGGGAATCCAGCAAGGCATCGTGGAAGCAGCTTGTAGCGCGAAATCCTAAGTGGTCTTACGATTAAAAACCTGGAGCCAGATATCAGGGTGAGAGCTGAAAGATCAGAGAAGCAGAGCAGGCCACAGCCACCACTATTACTACTGCTTCACCAGCTCCTCAGCCTGAAAGAGCCAGAGTTCCTCTCTCCTCCCTCCTTACATTCCTTTCTCTGCCCAGCCATATCACTTCCTGTAAAGGTGTGTGATCCCAAGTGCTGGAATTAAATCTGTGTGCCACCTCTGCCGGTTCTGTTTCTCTTTTAGACTGGATAAATCTCATGTAGCCCAGTATGGCCTTGAACTCACAGAAATCTAGCCTCCCAAGTGCTAGGAGTAAAGGCGTGTGCCACCACTGCCTGACCTCTGTGGCTAATTCTGCGGCTGGCTCTGTCCTTGCTGATCTTCAGGCAAGTTTCATTTCTTAGATTACAGACAATATATCACCACAACAACCTGTAATTACAGCATTCGAGAGGCTGAGACAGGATCTTAAATTCAAGGCCAGCCTGGGCTACACAGACAAGCTTTGTCTCAAAAATGAAAACAAACAAAAACCAAAACCTGTAGCTTTTAAATTTGAATTTGTTGGTTCTGGCTTCCTACGTTTCTGTTTGTTTGTTTTTGTCTTTTGAGGTGGAGTCTTATGAGCCCAGACTAACTTTGGACTTGCTTTGTAGCCCAGGCTGGCCTTAATGTCCTGATTCTCCTGTCCAAACCTCCTGAATGCTGGAATTAAAGGTCTGTACCACCAAACCAGACTCTCTTTCTTTCTTAGTGTTGGAAAGACTTCTTAGTAGTTAAGACCATGCTCTTGCAAAGGATCCAAGTTCAGCTGGTTCCCAGAATCCATGTTGGGCAGCTCACAACCACCTATAACTCCAACCCTGGGGGATCTGTCTTCCTCCTGTGGCCTCCATGGGCACCTGCACTCATATGCACATATCCATACACAGACATGAACACACATTTACGTGATTAAGAAAAATAAAAACAAACCTTGAAAAAACCAAACCAAGAACAACTAAATCGACAAATCTGGAGTTAATAGGACGACTCAGTGGGTAAAAGTACTTGCTACCAAGTCTAATGACCTGAGCTTGGTTGATCCCCAGGATTCATGTGGTGGAAAGAGAACACTAACTCCCACAAGCTGTCCTCTGAACTTCGAACAGAGAGAGAGAGACAGAGAGAGGGGAATATTCCTGTGTAGTCCAGGCTGGCCTCGAACTTACAGAGACCCACCTGCCTCTGCCTCTGCCTCCTGAGTGCTGGGACTAAAGGTGTACACCACCACCACCTGATGGACAATTTTTTTTAAAGAGTAAATAGCTGGTCATGGTGGCCCATACCTTTAATCCCTGAGAGGAAGAAGCGGATGTGCCCCTGCAGTTAAGACCATCCTGGTCTGTAAATGAGTTCCAGGGCAGCTGTGGTGATGCAGTGAGATCCCGGAAAAGGGGTGGGGAGAGGGGGCGGGGGGAGGGGGGATGCATACCCGTCTCCGAAGTCCCATCGGTAGAAGAAGGAAGCCAACTTGAAGAAGTCGCTCGGGTCATGGAGGAAAAAGGAGAATCTAAGGCTTTTATTGGTGAGGTAGGCGTTCGGCCAAGACACGGAGGTGTTTTGAGTAATGACTAGTTTTCCCACAAGTGACTCTGAGAAAGACAAAGGGAGAGTGAGTCCACAGAGGCACGAGGCACCCACAGCCTGAGTCGTGACCTTGGGCTGGAGCAAAGCAGCCTGGCTCAGCCTCCTCCGGCTGTCAGAACTATGTGCAGTGTGGGGGACCCCATAGATCCTTCAAGACAGAGACATTCTAGTCACCCCCTGCTGGCAGTGACTCACAGCACATGCTCAATCTGTGCCCCTGCCCCACCTCCCTTTCACAGTGATTCCACTCTTCCCGCCATGAAGAAAGGCATGGGCTGAAGCAGGACATGATGCCCACACTTGTAATTCCAGCACCTGGGAGGCTGGGACAGGAGGATCAAGAGTTCAAAGCCATCCTTGGCTACACAGTGAGTTGAAGGTCAGCCTGGGCTACATGAGACCCTGTCTCAAAGCAAACACAAAGTATGCATCATAACTGAATACATATAGACTATTTTTGCTGTTGTTAATGCCCTCTAAGAAATATAACATAACAACTACTTACATAGTGTTTATATTGTATCAGATACTATAAGGCATAGGGCGATAATTTAAAGGATATAAGAGTGTCAGGGAATGTGGCTCAGAAATGAAGCAATTGCCTAAGACACAGGAGGCCCTGAGTTCCATCCCCAACACCAAAAAAATAGTGGGGGGTAGAGCTGGAGAGATGGTCCAGTGGTTAGCAGCACCTGGTGCTCTATCATGAGGACTAGAGTTCAGATCCCAGCATCTACGATGGATGACTCACAGAACATCTGTAGCTGTAGTGTCCTCTTCTGGCCTCTGTGGCAACTGCAAACGTTTACGTTAGCAGAGTTTATAGACTCAGTTACATAATTCTATGCTTGCATTACTTCCTATATAATTTTAAAAGCATGGGCATTTTCACTCAGGACATTATAGACTCACTGAAAGGGTCATGATTAATAATTACATAAACTGGGGCTACTGAGATGGCATCTCAGTAGGTAAAGGCACCTACCATCACGTCTGATAATCTGAGTTCAATCCCCAGGTCCCACACAGTAGAAAGAGAAAATCAACTCCTGCAAGTTGTCCTCTGACCTCCACATGGACACCATGGCACAGGTACCCACATACATGTACACCCTCACTAAATAAATAAATGTAGTAAAAAAATTTAAATACTTAATACATTAGCTGTGTATCATGGCATATGTCTATAATCCTAGCACTGAGAAGCTGAGGACGGAAGATCTTCTTGAGTTCAAAACTAGCCTGGACTCTCTAGCAAGACTTTTTTCCTTTCCTAACTCCTGGAAAAGGCACATAATTACTCCAGTGTCTTTAATCAGTCCCCTAAGGGTTGAGTTTTTCACTTGTTTATATATGTTTTCTATTCTCATCATCTTGTGCATAAAGCATTACCTAAATGAAGCCTTATTTCCTGAAGGCAAATTAATTTGGACTGTGAGTCCCAGGTGGGACTTACTCTGGACCTCTGCCAGAGCAGCAAGCCCTCTGAACTGCCGAACCATTTCTCTGGTCTTGATTCTTTTTTTTTTTTAATTGTTTTCTGTGTGTGAGTGCGTGTGCCTGGTGCTCTAGGAGGTCAGAAAAGGATGTTGGATCGCCTTGGGCTAGACTTACAGACAGCTGTGAGCTGCCATGTGGGGGCTGGAAATTGTCTTCAAAAGCAACAAATGCCCTTAACCACTGAGCCAACTCTCCAGTCCTTTTTTTTTTTTTAAAGTAAAAAGTTTTATTACATTTATTTATCTGCTTATCTGTTTTGTATGTATATTGGTCTGTGCGCACCCATGCCATGATGTGCATGTCAAGGTGGGAGGGTAACTTTCAAGGGTGGGTTCTCTCTTTCCCCCCATGCAGGTCCTGGGGATCAAACTCAGGTCCTTAGGTTTTGCAACAAGCACCTTCACCCGCTGAACCATCTTGCTGACCCTACTTTCTGATTTTTTTTTTTTAACTTAACGAAGAATCAAGAAAGAATCCATGCGGGATGGCTCAGTTGGTGACATGCTTGCTTTGAAAGCATAAGAACCTGAATTTGATGCCCCAAACCCACATGTTTTTAAAAAAGCTGGGCATAGTGGTAGATTACATTTGTAATCCTGTTGCAGAATATTTGTTTAACTATGGAAAGAAGTGTTGCTGTTTTTCCTTGCCTGCCTAAGGCACCTACCTGACTGGTCTAATAAAAAGCTGAACAGCCATTGATGGGGGAGGAGGTATAGGCGGGACTTCTGGGTAGGGAGAGTGAGAAGGAGGAGGAGGAAGAGGAGGAGGAGGAGAAGGAGGAATTTAGGCACAGGATAGAAAGAAAAGGAGATGACAGGGAGTCGCCAGGGGCCAGACAGACAGACACAGAGAAAGCAGGAAAGCAGGACATACAGAAAGAAAGGTAAAAAGCCCCAAAGCAAAACATAGATGAACAGAAACAGGTTAAATTAAGTTAAAAGAGCTAGTGGGACAAGCCTAAGCTAAGGCCGAGCATTCATAATTAATAATAATTGTCTTTATTATTATATATTATAGTTGTTGGCCCAAAGAAAATTCCAACTACATAATCCCAGTGCTGGGGCATACTGGCCAGCCAGCCTGTCTAATTAATTGGTGAGCTCGCCAATGAGAGATCCTGTCTCAAAAAAAAAAAAAAGGTGGATGCTGCCTGAAGAACAACCCGGAGGCGCTCTCTCTCTCTCTCTCTCACACACACACACACACACACACACACACACACACACACACGAACATACAGACACAAACACACATGCACAAGACTTGAAAGCTGGCCTGGTGGTGTAGCTCAGTGGTGAAGCACTTACACAGCATGTCTGAGGCCCTGGGTTGCACAACATGAAAGAGTTTGAAAGACAATAGGTAAACATGAAAGGCCCTCAGAGACCCTCACCTTTGATGGGGAGTACCAGGGCACTCCTGGCTAACGGCTTGCACATCCAGCAGTCAACAGCAGTGACCCAGACAGAGACTGAGAAGTCCCCAGCCACTCTGCCCACCACGTGGATGGTCGAGGTTAGATTCTTCTCAGTCTTGGCAGTGAGTATCAGTGGTGTGTGGACCCAGTGGAAACGGTAGAGGTGGGCGTCTGCAGGCAGGGACAGGCTGCCATTGTCCTTGACCGTCAGGTTGGCTAAGATGGTCACTTCTGTACCAACGGTAGCAGGACCATCAGTAACAAGACTGAGATTGTAGAGACCTAGGAGACACATGCAGGCCAGGGTTCAGGAAGGCACCGAGGAATTCCTCAGCTAGTTTCCCAGTCATCAGTGATAACAGTGGGGCCAGCGAGATAGCTCTTCACACCAACTCTGATGATGCGAGTTTGATTCCCCAGTCCAAGAAGAAAACCAACTCCCCCAAGTCTTCCTCTGCCCACCCCCCCCATACACACACACACAAAATAAATGTAGCATCACAGAATGTCCCTATTTATTTACAGGGGATCCTTACCAAGACCCCTACCTGATGTCTGAAATTAAAGACAGCACCAGACCCAAAGTATCCTATGTTTTTTTCCTTGTTCGTTCTTTCTCTCACTCATTCATACATACAATTCATGGTGAACTTTAAATCGGTCACAATAAGAGATTACCAATAGTAACTAATAATAAAATGAACTAAGATCGGTGGTGTATGCCAGTCATCCCAGCACCAGGGAGGTTGAGGCAAGAGGACTGAATATTTGAGTCCACCCTGGGCTATGTAATGACTGTGTTCAAGGCCAGTCTGGGCTATATAGTGAGACTCCATCTAAAGAAACAGAACAGAAGCCGGGCGGTGGTGGCGCATGCCTTTAATCCCAGCACTCAGGAGGCAGAGGCAGGTGGATCTCTGTGAGTTCGAGGTCAGCCTGATCTACAAAGCAAGTTCTAGGACAGCCAGAGCTACACAGAGAAACCCTGTCTCCAAAGAGAGAGAGAGAGAGAGAGAGAGAGAGAGAGAGAGAGAGAGAGAGAGAGAGAGAGAGAGAGAGAACAAAATAGGGCAGGAGACAGGGCTGGAGAGATGGCTCAGCAGTGAAAAGTATGCACTATTCTTGCAGAGGAATGGAGTTCAGTTCCCAGCACTGGCATCTGGCCCCTTACAACCATCTGTAACTCCAGCTCTGGAGGGATATGATGCCCTCTCTGGCCACTTCTGGCACTGCACTCATGCCCACAAAACCACAGGCACATTTGCACACACGCACATAATAAAAGTAATAATAATTGTTGCAGCTGGTTTTATGTCAACTTGATATAAGAGAGAATCACCTGAGAGGGGGGGAGCCTCAATTGAGAAAATACTTCCGTAAGACCGGGCTGTAGGGCATTTTCTTAGTTAGTGATTAATGGGGAGGGCCCAACCCATTATGAGTGGTGCCATCCCTGGGCTGGAGGTCCTGTGCTAAAAAAAAAGTGAACTGAGCAAGCTATGAAGACCTTGTTAAAAAGGGGGGGGGGGGCTGATCCTTCCTACATAGTCCAGACTGGTGTTGAACTTGTGGCAATCCTCCTGCCTCCCCGTCTAGAGTACTCTGGTTGCAGTTTCATGCCATCACACCCAGCCTGAGACTCATTTCACCCAAACCCACTTTCCCAGCCAAAGTCCCTGCTTGAGGCTGAAGTCTTCCTAGGCGCTGATAGTATGTATTCCCTTTCTAGTCAGTCTACATTGTAACCACATGTAACTAAGTGTAAATTAACCTGATGTGACTGCTGACATTTACTTAAGCATTCTACTTCCCAGTCACTGCACCCACGCCCTCCCGTGTTTAACAACAATGTGGCTAGTGGTCGGTCTTCCCGAGGCACACAGAATACTTCTGTTTCCTTAAAGCCCCATTTCCCATGGGTAGTTGAGTCTCTGATTTTTTGCTCTCTCCTCACTTCTTGTTAGAGTGAAAAGAGCCAGCTGGGGTCAGGTGGAGGGCTGGGTACACAGCTAAGCAGGTAGAGCGCTTGCTTGGAGTGAATGAAGCTCTGGGTTCCATCCCTCCCATTCCACGAATGATGGTGACAAACACCAATAATCCTAGCACTCAGGAGGTGGAAACCGGAGGTCCAGAAGTTCAAGGCCATCCTCAGCTACATAGTGAATTTGAGGCCAACCTGTGTTGTAGAAAATCTAAGAAAAAAAAAAAAAAAGCCAGCTGTCCCAAACACCAGCCACAAGCCTCTCTGATTTTCTCTTTTTTGGGTACCCTGCCTCTTCAGCATCGCCACTCTATCCCTGTGGTGATATACTGTGTACCTTAATAAACTTCTCTGAGGATCAGCGGACAGAGCCAGCCACTAAATTAGATATAGAGGTCAGGCAGTGGTGGCACACACTTTTAATCCCAGCACTTGAGAGCTCATGCCTTTGCTTGGGAAGCACACATGCCTTTAATCCCAGGAAGGAATATGGCAGGGCAGAGAAAGGTATATAAGGCGTGAGGAAACAGGAACTCACTCTCCTTAGGCGGAGGATTTCGTAGAGGTAAGAACTAGTGGCTGGCTGTTCTGCTTCTCTGATCTTTCAGCTTTCACACTGATATCTGGCTCTGGGTTTTTTTTTTTTATTAAAACCACGTAAGATTCGAACAACATATCCCATTTCCAGGGACCCCACATACAGTCATCTGGATTTCTGCTCTTGGCCCTGATGTATGTCTTATCTTTTTGTTTGTTTGTTTGTTTGAAAGATACATTTTTAATAATTTGAATACTTTCACAAAGAGACAGGGAAGCCCTGCCCCTACAGAAAGGCTTTCCCACCTGCCCCTGCACCACAGCAGGACATGTAAGATGTGACCAGTACACTAAGTACACAGGACATTAAAAAGCATCCTGCTGGGCTGTCGGTGGCTGGTGGTGGCTGAGAAGTGTGAAATGGCCAGGAATTAAAAACTGCAAACTCAGGCTTACTTCTCCTGAATTTTCCAGTCAAGTGACTGGCTTTATGTCTTATCTCTTGTTGCTCCAACAAGTGTCTCGAATTAGATTTAATGTAATCATGAACCTTCCTTTGGGGTCTAGATTCACACTTGGGGACCTTCCACCTGGCAGCCAGCCACTCTTACAGTTCCAGGAGGTACACAGTGGCGCACACCTTTAATCCCAGCGCTCAGGAGGCTGAGGCAAGCGGATCTCTGTGAATTCGAGGCTAGCCTGGTCTACATAGTGAATTCTAGCCCAGGCAGGGCTACATAGTGAGACCCTGTCTAAAAAATAAAAACTTTCCAGTTCGCAGGATGCTTTGGTCCTTCTGACTTCAGGGTTTTTGTATATCCTGGCTCAGTGGGCAATGGCACTTGCTGCCAAGCCTGATGACCCGAGTTTGATCCCCTGGCATGCAAACACTCTAGTGAAAATAAATCTAAAAATAAAAAGAATTCCTGTTCTACCTTCTGCCCCACAGTAAGTCTTTCAGGAAGCCTTCCTGCGCCCTGACCCCTCAGTGCTCTCCTGACAGACTGAGTACACTACTGTCACTGAGACATCACCGTACAGAATGAAGATTTCTTCTCTCCTAGTGTACTTTTAATTCCTTGAAGACAAGGGTCATCTGCTTCTTTATTGTGCAAGCAAAATGCTTACCATGTAGTAAGGAGCCCGGGATGTGGCTCTGTGGATAAGTGTGCTTGCTACACAGGCGTGAGGACCTGAGTTCAATCCCCCAGACCCATGTAAGAAAGCCAGGCATGATGAGGTACACCTTTCCCTGGACTGGGGAGGCGAGGACAGGAGGATCTCTAGGGCTTGCTGGCCAGTCAACCTAATGGAATTAACGAGCTCCAGATTCTACTGTGATTGTTTAAATTTGATTAAAACTAAGAATTTGGCCTCAAGGCCATATTAGCAAAAACCCAAGTGTTTAATCACAACCATATGCCATTATGAGGCAGCCAGAGGCGGACAGACTCTGAGAAAGACATCTCAGGTCACCCTGTCACCTCCACATACAGGAGCATGCATATGAATGCATGTGCACCATTGTGTATACCCATGCACGAATGTGCGCACACACTCTCACACACACACAGACTGTATGGTTAGTGTTCAGTGGTACCTCTGAGCCACGTGACTACCTGGAAAGGAAGATGTGGCATGAAGTCCAGACCACCTGGCACCGTCGCAGAAGACTATTCACATGGGGGTTACTGACTGAACCCCTTCTGCGTGCCCCACTCCCACGAGTTACCCACAGGTAACCTAGCATGGACATGGTCTTCCTCAGAGTGAGTTCACAGGATACCTGCTGGAATCTTCAGCAGAACCAGAAGAGTCCGGCTGCAAATGTGCCCCTTGTTTACCTCACAACATTCCTGGACCCAACTGGGGACTCAGGCATCTGTCTTTTCTGTTGTTCTGCCCTGTGTTCCTGTTACGAATCCCTTTTCTTCAAATCCATTTGTTGAGTTATAAAGCTGTTTGAGTTATGGTGCTAAAGGCATGGGCTGCCACTGCTATCCTAGATACCGTGGGTTTGAGGGTTCATATCGTCAACATGGCGGGATTTAGTTTATTTTGAGACAGGATCTCTCTATGTACTCCTGGCTGTGCTGGAACTCTCTATGTAGACCAGAGTGGCCTCGAACTCACAGAGATCCACTTGATTGTATATGCAATGTGACCAGCTGCCACGGCTCCTGCTGCCATAAATTCCCTGACATGATGGACTCTTATTTTATTTATCTTGGGGGGGGGGATTGTGTGTGTGTGTGTGTGTGTGTGTGTGTGTGTGTGCGCGCTCTCTCGAACATATGTGCGAATGTGTGTATCATAATGGACATGTAGCAGGGGTCAGTTTTCTCCATCTAATGTGTGGGTTCCAGGAGTCAAATGCAGGTCTTCAGCTTTGGCAGCAAGTGCCTTTACTCTCTGAGGCATCTATACAGCCCCATTTCCAGCTGTTTTGCCATAGCACCCAGGCAAGTACGCAATACAAAAGGAAAGGGCTACTGCTGCTGTCCCCCAGGACTATTCACCCTCCCTCTAGTTGGCAGGCAGTGCGTCCCTCTCCTCAAGAGCTCTTACCTGTTTCCGCGCCCCTCCCCCATCACTACTACCACCCACCCCCTCCTCCCTCCCACTCAAGTGGAGGAGGAACAAGGACCAGAGTGAGGCTCTAAGGTGGCAGGAACACTAAGCTGCATGTTAATTGCCATCCTGCATCTGCAGTGAGAGCGGGCTGACGCAGATCGGTTGCCATGGAAATGGAATCATGGGGCAGCTGGCTGGAGCCGGGAAGAAGGAGGACCCACTGACGATGTTGTTGAAAATGGTTGCCGAGCCCTGCCTGGAGGAGACCACAATGGTCTTTTAAAAAACAGAAGCTGGGCGAGAGGGATGGCACGGTGGTTAAGAGCCCTTGCCGTTCTTGCCTAGGACCTGAATTCAGTTCCCAGCATCTACTACGGGCAGCTCACACGCGTCCTGATCTTGGGACTCCAAAGCCCTCTTCTAGTCTCTACGGGCATTCAAACACATGTGAGCATACATTCACACTGATAAATGTGGATGCTCATAAATTTAAAAAAAGAAAAAAGAAACTAAAAACAGAAACTGCACCAGGCGTGGTGGTGTAGCATGTCTTTACTGCACTCGAGAGGCCAAGGTATGCAGCTCTCTGTGAGTTCAAGGCTAGCTTAGTCTACATAAGTGAAACTCTGGAGGTGGATGCAGGAGGATTAGAAGCTCAAGGTCATCTTTGGCTATATAAGTTTGACACCATCCTCCCAGGTTACATGAGAGCCTGTCTAAAAGAGGGGTGGGGGAGCGGCCCTGGACCCCTTTCACTGGGTCAAGGTGACCCCCTTCTTTCTCTGGGCTTTGGGGAAGTATCCAAGGGTATCCGTGCTAAAGTGGGCAGTGAAAACCTTTGCCAAGTGTAGCTGAAGGAGTCAGACCCAGTGCATCCCCTGTGACTCTGCTCATCCAAAGTCATCTTTCATGTTTGGGAGCCCAGATGCACACAGAGCACAGCCAGCCACCAAGGCAAGGACTTGGGGGTGCCCCAAGTGCACTCAAGTGACATAGAACTAGATGTGCCAAGACAGAAAGGGGCAACGCCCTCAAAAGCATGGCCCCAGTTTCCTAACAGCTTACCAGGGCCTCAGTGTTTTCCCATGATACATGTGAGGCTTGGAACATTCTAGAAAATGACTACGGTGGCCTTTTCACATAGCACATGTTAGGCAGCCAAAATCACTTACCAAACACACCTGTGATGATCTAAATAACACAGAAATCCACCTGCCTCTGCCTCCCAAATGCTGGGATTAAAGAGGTAAGTCAAGTGGATCAGGAGTTCTAAGTCAGCCTGGGCTACATAAGACCCCATTGGGGGAAAACTTTTATTTTTAGTGTGTGTGTATGTGTGTGTGTGTGTGTGTGTGTGTGTGTGTGTGTGTGTGTGTGACTAGAGTGGTGACTCATGCTTATAATCCCAGCACTAGGTAGGGGAAACAGGAGGGTGCAAGTTAGAGGCCAGCCTGGGCAATTCATGAAGACCTCATCTCAAAATAAATATTGCCTGATAAGATGGCACATGCCTTTATCCCAGCGCCAGGGAACCTGAGGTAGGAGGATCTCTGAGCTTGAGGCCAGGCTGGCTACAGGGTGAGCTCCAGGATAGCCAGGGCTATATAGAGAAATCCTGCCTTGAAATAGATAGATAGATAGATAGATAGATAGACAGACAGACAGACAGATAGATATTTAGTTGTGTATTTCTTGTAATTTAAATCACGTAACTTCTAGACACATATAACCCAATGGATCAGGGTGTCCATTTCTAGATGAATTCTATGTTGTATTTCCAGGAGTTGGGGGAGGGTGTAGGTAATTTGATACATGCAAAATTCCCACAAAATCCTCTGATGCATGCCAAAAACGCAGGTTGGTTTTTTTTATTTTTTAATTTACTTCGTGGTTCTGCCGTTCTCACAAACCTGCACCAGATCCCTCTCTTCCCCCACCTCTTTTTTAATGGGTGGATGCGCTGTGAAGAATGATGTGGGTTTTTTTTTTTTTTTTTTTTTTTTTTTTCCCTCCAGCTACTCACAACCCACCGGTCTCTGACAATT